CCACAGCACTCTACCCAGGGGGACAGCTTGAGGCTCTGTCTCAAAGAAAAAAATAAGAGAAAGAAAGAAAGAAGCTCAGCGCCTGCAGCTCAGCAGCTATGGCGCCAGCCACATACACTGAAGGTGGTGGGTTCAAGCCCAGCCCAGGCCTGCCAAACAACAATGACAACTACAACCATAGTTGGGCATTGTGGCGCGTGCCTGTAGTCCCAGCTACTTAGGAGGCTCAGGCAAGAGAATCGCTTAAGTCCAAGAGTTGGAGGTTGCTGTGAGCTGTGATGCCACAGCACTCTACCGAGGACATAGTGAGACTCTATTTCAAAAAAAAGAAAGAGAAAGAAAGAAAAAGAAATGCATGTAGCATGACTTTTTCAATGTCAATTCATCTGCCAGTTCACCTACCATCCACCTGGTAATCAACTCACATGATCTGGCCAGCACCCTACTCACTGAGTTATGGGTGCCGAGCCCATATATATATGTTTTAATTGAGACAGAGTCTTACCCTGGTAACCTGAGTAGAGTGCTGTGGCATCATAGCTCGCAGCAACCTCAAACTCTTGGACTCAAGGCATCCTTTTGCCTCAGCCTCCCAAGTAACTGGGACTACAGGTACCTGCCACGATGCCTGTCTAATTTTTCCATTTGTAGTAGAGACGGAGTCTTACTCTTGCTCAGGCTGTTCTCCAACTCCCAAGGTCAAGCAATGTACTGGTCTCAGCCTCCTAAAGTGGTAGGATTATAAGTAGGAGCCACCACACCTAGCTGCATCTAGTAACATCAAAACTTTGGTCCTGGCTCAGTGCCCATAGCTCAGTGGTTAGGGAGCCAGCCACATGCACCAGGACTGGTGGGTTTGAAGCTGGCCTGGGCCTGCTAAACAACAGTGACAATAACAACAACAAAATAGCTGGGTGTTTTGGCAGGCGCCTGTAGTCCCAGCTACTCGGGAGGCTGAGGCAAGAGAATCGCCTAAGCCCAGGAATTGGAGGTTGCTATGAGCTGTGAAGTCACAGCACTCTACGAGAGTGATAAAATAAGACTCTGTCTCAAAAAAACAAAAAACAAAAAACGCTCCACCATAGGTGGTTAAGTGAAATTAAGCCTACTAGTAGTAAAGTGGTCTATCTGGAAGAGAAACGAGACCCCAGTCACTCCATGTGTTCAAGCAGAGACGGACTGAACAGATGTTTAAATAAAGTTACAACAATGTGGGGA